CTAAAAATCACCTAGAAGTCAGACTTTATTAGAAAGACATCAAACTATTTTATTCAAAGAGAAATACAATGTCATTCCAGATCTCAACAGTTCTCTCATTCTGTCATCTCCAAAACATTCAAAATTCTGAATTTAAAGATTCCTTGGAAAAGCAAAACCACAGTGCTAAGGCAGCATTTCTAAGAGATAGTATGATCCAACTCTTCTTTTCTGCAAATAGGGTTACTATGATCCAAGTCATTCATTATGTGGTGTCATGGGCTAAACTGCGTCCCCCACAAAATTCAAAATTTATGCTGAAGTTCCTAACCTGCAGTACCTCAGAATGTGAGTGGTTTGGAGATGGGGTCATTAAAAAGCCAATTAAGTTAAAATAAGGCCCTATAGGTGGGTCATACATCCAATACAGTTGGTATCCTTATCAGAAGATAAAATTTAAATACAGACGGGTACATAGGAAAGATGATGTGAAAATACAGGGATAAGATTGTCCTCTACACGTATAGGAGAGGTCCAGCACGCATTCTTCCCTGACAGGCCTCATAAGTAAGGTGACAACACCTTGCCCTCAGACTTCCAGCCTCCAGAACAATGAGACAGTAAGTTTCGGTTGTTTAAATCCCACAGTCTGTGGTACTTTGTTACAGCAGCCCGAGCAAACTAATAGAGGTGGCTCGCCTTATAAAGCATGGTGATGAAAAACAAGATCATGATCAAAACCCAGCTTTCCAGACTCTTAACACCCACGAGGTTTCCCCCTCACTACACTGCCTGGTAATTAAGTCCCTGTTTTCACTCAAAGTTCTGTTTCACAAAAATGTCACACTGATTCAACTTTTTAAGGACCATGGTACATATGAGGAGGAAACCCCACATTACCAACAAGGCATTTTCACATAGATGGCCCATGAGATCAAAAGCTCTAAAACCCAAATAAATCACTCTAAAAAGTCAGTAATGACACTGTTTTTGGAATCTAACAAGCCTAGATACACGATAATCCCTTAGACAAGTTGATCTAACCCCTCTGAGCCTCAATTCCATATTTATAATATAAATCCTATAAACTATAAATTCCATAAAATAAAAAAATTCTTTCAAAGAGCTAATGTGAAGATTAAATTGAACAACAGCCTTTGTAAACTGTAAATCTTAAAAACAATTCACCGTGCAATCACAAATTATTTCATTTTTTTATTTTTTCACTCAAACTCAATACCATTGATATTTCCCTCATATCACTATAACCAATTATTAACCTAGCTCTGACATTTCTTCTATACAGCATCATTTTTTTTTGTAATTGTCTTCTAAAAAATCCGTAATTTCAAATCTGTACTGCTTTGAATGACTGATTTACCAGCTTTCAGTTTCCTCTTTTTCTAATCTATATCATATCCCAGTATCAGATTCCTCTTCCTGATACATCCAGCTCAAAAGTCTTTAGAGGCTCTCTAACCCACAGAATAAGCTCTGCATTCTACAACACAACTGCAGCCAAAGGCCAGTTCCTAAGCTCAGCTCAAGGCTTAAAATGAAGTCATATTGTCAGCTAAACCCGGTTCTCAGTGTGCCAAGAATTCACGCATTCTATGCCCCTCTGTCTTGCCCTAGACGTCCCCTTTAATATGCCCAAGGGGTCTGCCTCACATCCAGCCAGTGTGAACAAGCAGACTATCAACATCTTCAACTTGATCCTGCTCTCTTCTTCCCTCATTATTCCTACAGATGGAACCACTTATCACACTGGATCCTCTACTGTCATTATGAACTTGCTTTTGACTTTGAACCAGAACTAGCACCAACATCAAAGTTAGGTTGGTTATTCTAGTGCATACTCTGCATACTAGGGCTCCTGTCTCCTGGCTAATTTCATTTTCCTCCCAGTTCCCTCATGATCCAGTGTCCCTTGTCCATCTCCTCTCTCACATTCAGGATCCACTATAATCAAATTCATTAACATTTTTAACCTTGCCTTCCTTCACAGCTCAATAGAAACCCATTGTTCTATCTCAGTCAATGGTTTTCAAACCCATCAAACTCAATATCCTCTTTACAGAACAAATATTTTTACTACTTTTTTTTGGATTTACTACTATAAAATGAAATCATACATAATAAGATACATGCACAAACATAATTTCAAATATTTATATATAATTTCAAAAATATTAATCTCCATATATGTAACTGGAATATAAAAAAAGTAATTTATAACAAAATAAGGTATTTAAATACACAAACAGTCAGATGCAACTATAACAAAAAACAAATTGAAGAGTGGTACTCACATCTATGTACAGAAACAGCATAAATATAACCACTACAAATATAGACTGATCCAGGTGGTATTATCTTAGTGAATGAAATAACAGAAGCATAATGCCTTTAGTTACATAATTTTCTAAAATGTGAGCAAGTTGTAGCAAAGTTTTAAACAAAACAAAACACAATTCCTCCTTGATTTACACTGTAGTTGTATTCCTGAATAATTTGGCAATACCAAATCTGTGCAAAGCATACTTTTTGTTTGTATGCAAAAATCACTGGGTCACAGGCTCAGAGACATATAAACAGATTTTTCACCTACATGAATGCTCAGTAGGACACAAAAAGGCTTATGAGACATAAGACAATTGTTCATTGCATTAGAGACTGAAAATATTTATCTTTAAAGGGTCAGATAGTATATAATTTAAGTTTGAGAGACCATACAGTTGGTCAAAAGTTCTCAACACTAAGAAAGCAGTCACAGACAACACATGAAAGAATGGAGTAGCTATTTACAAAAAAACCAAAAAAAACCTGGCAATAGTCTGCCCTTCCCTGTATTAGAGTGCCCCACATATTGCAAAATGCCCAGCTCCTACTCACTAAATCTCATTTGCACTGTTCAATTACTGTGAAGACCAAAACACCTCCTATTGAGCAATACTACCCAACTCTCCCACCACTTCCAACTGAGAACTCCTGATCTGAACTATTCCTACTCACCACATTTGGAAAAGCATTGAGCTTTCTGGTCTCTTCTCCCTTTCTACACCTGCCTGGAATGCTACTTCTCCTCAATCGATTCTTTCCTGTTTTTCTGTCTTATGCCTAATCCAAGGCTCAGCTGACACTTTACCTCCTGTCCCTAATGGAAGAATTTCCTTAGAACTTACAGTCTCTTAGAAATGAGAAAGAGTGCTTATAAGAAAAAAAGAACGCCCTTCCCTGTCCCCAAAACTCTCTACAATTTCGAGAAGGAGCGAGCATTAGAGAGAGAGAAAAACCTACCTATTTGGAAAATCTGATGTCATTGAAAAGAATGTCTCGACCATTTACAATCTGCTGTAAGGTTGGGTAAAATAAGACAGAGAGGTATATATTTGATTTGGAGAGAAGGAGTTGATTGATGAACTTTATAAGAACAATTTCAGCCAAGTAAGAATGGAGGAAACCAAACTAAAGTGGCAAGAAAAGGAGAATAAGAGATAAAAAGTAGAAACAGAAAGAAGATTTATCTAAAATAATATATGTAAGTCATATAGATAGATGTGAGAAACAAAGCAGATGGGCAACAGACTACCTGTAGTTCACCAATACCTTGACAAACTGTTAGAGCAAGCCAACGATTCATCTTGTTATGGATAAACAGAATAGCTGTGATCTCTTCAATACAGAAACAGACTGAGGTGTTATTTCAAGATAATTTGCACTTTTTAAAATGGCCAGGTATGGTGGCTTACACCTGTAATCCCAGTGCTTTGGGAGGTCAAGGTGTGAGGATTGCTTAAGGCTAGAAGTTGGAGACCAGCCCAGGCAACACAGTGAAAACCTGCCTCAACAAAAAGTTGTTTGTTTGTTTGTTTTGTTAATTAGCTAGGTGTGGTCGTTATACACCTTCAGTCCTAGCTACTTAGGAGGACCACTTGAGCCCAGCAGTGTGAAGCTACAGTGAGCTATGATCATACCACTGCACTCAAGCCTGGGAGACAGAGCAAGACCCTGCCTATAAAAGTAAATAAATAATAAACATGTAGTAGAAGGAGACCTACTACTCCTAAATGTCATGAAGTAGAACTCAGAAGTTTCCATGAATAAAGATGTTTTATTCTTCTGCAGTACAAAAACTTTTTCATTCAGGAATTAAAGCAAAAATAGAACTATTTCATTTCATAAAACTTAAAATATTATATATAGCAAATAACTACATTATAAAGGAAATTTTTAGAAAATAACAGACTGGAGGAAAATCTTACATCATGAATGATCCTAAGATATGAAGAGTGTCTACATGTTGATAAGAAAAAACAAGAAAAAATACCGTAAAGGACAGGAACAAAGAAATTAAGAACAATGAAATTCGTATAACCAATATAATAGCATGAGATGTCCCCATTTTTAAGCCGGGCTCAGTGGCTTAGACTGTAATCCCGTGCCTTTGGGAGGCTGAGGTGAGTGGATTGCCTGAGCCCGTGGGTTCGAGACCCACCTGGGCAGCGAGACGTCATCTCTACAATAAAATCACAAAATCAGCCAGGCGTGGTAGCGCATGCCTGTAATTCCGGCTACTTGGAAGACTGAGGTGGAAGGATCACTGGAGCCCAGCAGGTCAAGGCTGCGGTGGCCGGGAGCGGCCACTGCACTCCAGTCTGGGCGACAGAGTGAGACTCCAACTCAAAAAAAAAAAAGAATTTTCCTAAAAAATAACAAATACAAAGCAATGCTAAATTAGCATGTAACTCAGGAACTCTCTGAACAAAATCAGACATACAAAATCAATTGCCTTAATACGCTTACCATCAATGCACAAGAGTTTTTTCCCCCACATCTAAGTATACAACAGGATGGTTTTGTTTTTAACATAACTTGATATCATTGCAAGAGGTACTAATTTTTAATTTTCAGTTTATACATCCTAATATAATCATGTAATTTTAAAAACCAGCATATTCAGAGGTGTAAAATATTTAAATAGCTACGGGCACCACGCAAAGACAAGTAAAAGTGCCTACCTTCCCTGATAGCTGTGAACGGTGTTCCTTCTTCTTCCTGCAGCCTGATCACCTTCAGGGCTACCAACTTCCCGTTTACCCTGTAAGAAATGAAAACGATGAGAAGTGCATCTAAAAATATGTGCCCATTATGTGTCTAATTGTCTTCCTTATAATTTATATTTTACACATTTCCACACTGAAAATGCCAGTGACTCAATTACACTGCCACCGCAAGATTAGTGTCAATACAGCTAGGAAGTCTATATCATCATCATAAATATTCACAATTCAACTATTCACACTTGCATAGGCCAACATTCAACTGAAGTTTTCTGTGATTCACTCTGTTCCTTCCAAAATGAAATTACCATGCTTGACAATCATTCTCAGAATAATTAAAAATCAGGCAGTCAAAATAACTCTCTTCTTTTGTTTCTCCAATAGCTCCTTCTTTGTTTCTTTTCCTGAAGTGTCTTCATCTTCAGTCTTTAGCTGAGGTCATTCAATTCCTAAGGACAGAAACTTGTCAGTCAGTCTTCTCTCCTCTCTTTCTCAACAACACCCATTCCCGTTTTTTTTTCCCTTTTTTTTTTTTTTTTTTTTTTTTTTTTTTACTACAGTCTCCTAAAATTATATTTGGTCTGGTTGTGTTTAATATTACACTATACCACCAAAAAAGTTATGAATATTTTATGATTACAAGATTACACAAGACCTATCCAAAGCAGATGGTCCTTCCAGACACATTCTAAATATGTGTTGGCTCTAATTAAAAGTAAGATTGTGCTATGGAGATAACTTTTTATCCAGTCAATTCTGTCATCAATCAAAGACATGACTGTCTATACAGGTTTCCATCTTCAGTGTTCTTTTTTTTTAACCTTTACTAAGGCTAGCAATATACATTATATGGTCTGTTTGTTAATTAAAATAGGATTTTAAAAAGGCACATACAATCCTCAAAGGATTGGTTCCAGGACCCCCTTTGATACCAAAATCCAAGGATGCTCAATTCTATTATATAAAATGATGTAGTATTTGCTTATAACCTATGTATATCCTCCCATACACTTGAAATAATCTCTAGATTACTTAAAACACCAAAGTAAATGCTATGTACACCAGATATAGATATGTAATCCACAGATACTGAAACCACAAATATGAAGTCAATTATACTAAAAATGTAAAAGGTACAAGATATATAGACTTCCACATATATTACACATAAATCTATATACACAACAGATATACATATAAATACACACACAGAAATGATAGCATACAATACAGAGCATACTGTACACTGTTTTTGTCACTTTACAATATATTTTGCTGACTTCTTTATAAAGTCATAGAAAAATGCCTCTTGCTTTTGAAAGGTCACAGCATGTTCCTTTGTATGAGCATAGTATACTTAATTTAATCCCAGTCCTCTACTGACAGGCTTTAAGCTTGTTCCCAAATCTGTGTTAGTACAAGAATACAATTGATATTCTTGTATATGTAACTGCATCCATGTAAAAATGTCTGTAAAATAATAAAAGTGGAATTGTAAGGTCAAAAAGTATGTGCATTTCTGATTTTTGATTCTGATGAATACTGGAAAATTATCTGGCACAGAGGATACCAATTTACCCTTCCTATAGGAGAGCTCCTGTACTTCTTCTCCCTCATCTATGCTATATGTTATCAATGTTGTATTTTGTATCAAAAAATGGTTTCTTGTTGCAATTTAAATTGCTATCAAAGATCTCTAGAGGTTAAGGAACCAACAAAGGAAAGCTCACGTGGTCCAGAGAATTCAAAGCCTGAGTCTGAAATAAAGAATCTGAATGTCTCATTTTCAAAAAAAACAAACAACCTCATCTAGTTGGTCCATTTTTGCTCAAAAAAACTGAACACAGAACCCAAAAGGCCAAAGAATGTATCACAGTTCAACCATCCTAGAGGCATTTCTGACTGAATTGACTGCTGAAATACGTTATTATGGGTTGCAGTAATGGGATAAAGACATCTGATTATAAGGCTCCACAATGTGATGTTCCTCAAGGTTAGGAGTTGTATTTGTTTTTCCTTGGGATTCAGCAGGGAGGGTGGACCTGCTGCTTATCTGCTCTGCATCCTCTCTTCTGAGTGTATTACCTTGATTTTTCTAATCCTGTTTGTGTTCATGGTACCCAGGTGCAAGCAAAAAATTACTACGCACATGGGGTTCAGTTGGAGACTGTACCGTGTGCTCTTCACTTTGTCTTTTAGGATAAGGCAGGCCTTTGGCAGGGCCTGAGGCTGGGACACAGTCAGTGCTGACATCCGCATGAATTTTTCTCAGCCCAGTTGAGCTCATCACTGGCTCCCTGAGGAATCAGTAACCGATTCCAGGAACTGCTTGGAATTTTCCCCTTACTTACAGATATTTTCCCCTGACCCATATAAAACACGTACAGACACAACCTTTTTCCCACAAAGCTTTTCATTTCTCTTGAGAGCACCAACTCATATGTACCAAAAACCGAATTCTGAAATACAGAGACCTCATGCTTCTGAAGGCTACGTACTTAAAACATTTTCTCAGATCATGGAACTATGACTGCCCTGTAGCAAAATGGAAGGAGATAGTCTTTAATTAAGGCAACACTCATTTCCTAAACGCAACTCAAGATGGAACCCCTCTAAATAATCTCACAGACTTCTTTGTGTTATTTTTGTGACAAAAAAAAATTTCAACATATTTTCTGTGATAACTGCATACAAAAACAAGACCCAGGTTCATGAAATTCTCATTTCTCAATTTTCCATAAATTGAACCTCTAAGTGTTAGTTTTTTTTATAGGATACAATCACACCAGTTAATGACAAGAAGATTTTATGTATTACATGATATTAAGCTAAAACTTCCTTCAAATTTATACTCTATTGTAAGCTCCAGAAGTGAAGGGACTTCTGTTTTGTTAAATGATATGTGCGTAATCTAGAAACTTCCTGACACAGAGTGGATTCTCAAAATGTTTCACTAAATGAGTAGTGATACTGTTATATGCTGACATTTTTCTCCTATACCTGTAAAATAAGTCCCAAATAAGGCATTACAATTATTATTTCCAAAAAATTTCAGCAATACCAAAATGCTATAAGCTTTCAACATCTTCTTTCAAGTTAGATTTAACTATTTTTTAATTTCCTTTTCTAAAAATAAAAAGTGCTATTTCTTTGTTTTTGAAGCATGTGGATATAGAAAAGTTAATTCCCTGAAGTTTTAAAAATTTTAAAATGCTTTGTTAATTAACCTTTTTGCATCCAGCAGACAAGTTTCAAAACACTCAATATTCTTTAATAATCTGAGCACAGACCAATAATCAGCATCTCCCTCTTCTACAATTGCTTCTTTCTCATTAAGAATCGGATTGATTATCAAATTGCTCTTTAACTTAAGAGTCATTGTGACTTTCTCTTTTCTTAATTAGTTTTTTTCTGCATGTCTTGACACTCAGCAACTGCTGAATCCCTCAGTTTGAAAGCCTAGTGAAAATGTTAAGCCATTGGCTTCAATTTTGGAAAAAGTACTTCTGGAAAAAAAAATTAAGAAATTTCCTTATGTTCTGCCTTTTGTGTATGTATATATTTTAAACTTTAGAATGGTCTGAATTACTTGAGTTTCGGAAACACTAACTCATTTACAAAACATTAAGTTCTTAAAGGTATCAAAAGAGATACATTATCCTAGGTAAAACAAAATGCATGTATCTTCTAATATCTTGAGGATTTAAGCCATTTTATGAAGACTTAAAACATATAATTCAAACACTGATTAAAATAACATAAAAATAATTACAAAATTCAATTGATTCAATAAATTAGAGCTGTTTACAGGAAAACATTGAAGATTTCTCCTTAACAAGTCATATTAATTAAATCAAAAGCTAATGAATAGAAGGCAATCAAGACTTGATTACTGATAGAGACATTAATTCAGGTAACATGGTGAAAAAAGGCACTTTAGATTGTGTTAATATTATCACAGAATATTTTATTGATGTTACTGCCAAATTTGCCTATAGCTGTTCTAAGGTGTTATAGAAAGTCATTCTATTTCAGAGATTCTTTTCTGTTCCTTTAATCTTCCAACAACTGCCATTCCCAGCTTGGCCTCACTGTGAGGCACACTTTAGGCCAAAGATGCTTTAGTCTGCTCTCACACAGGACAAGCTTCCAAAAACAAAGTGGAACACCAGGAAGAGTGACACGCCCTGGGTGGGAGGGCCGTGGGCAGTTCCACACATAGAGACACGGGGACACTGTGTAACAAGGCAGAGCCATGCTGAAATGGGATCCAGTTGTCAAACCGTTTCTAACCACAAAGTCAAATCTCTTCAATTTCAGAAACTTTGTCCACAAATCTGTGTACCCTTAATCTTTAAATACAAAATTTCCTTGTGAGAGTGAAGCAAGGTCTAGAAACTTTGAATAAAGAAAACAGCTGTTCATTTTTCATCTATTCATTCATTTATTCATTCAATACTTTGCAAAACCTGTAAAGAAAACTTGCCACTCAGCTCAGGGAACATTTCCAGTTTCAAAAGGTGATGCTCAAAGAGAATTTCCTTACAGACAAACAATTCTCAAAGGAAAGCCTCAAGGTTTTATATTCCATTAGTTACTTCCAATTAATAGGATAACTTATACAATAAAACAAAATTACAAATATTATCTAGGTCATCTTTGAAAGAAGTGTCCATGTGTTAACAGCTGGAAGAAATTACGTCTAGAGGTTATAAAGGAAATTACAACGATATACCTAAAAGAAATTTAATATACTCGGGAAAATTTAATATAATCTGCCTCTGTCTTCCATTACAATTTTCTTTTCAAGAGAAACAGCAAAGGAAAATAACATCAAGTCCAGGCAGATACAATGGCTTTGTTTCTTTGCTGTATTGGTATAGAGGCAATGGAAAGTAATGTGTATACTATCGAGAGTGTTAACAGTAGCAAGCTGGAGTATAGCAAGGACAATATTTGGGCTGAATTTGTAGGTCTTGGTAAAGTTACTAAAAATATTTTAAAATTATACTGATAGTGCTTCATTTATTATCTCTTT